AGTGTTGTTTTCTTGAAGTATCGTTGTCTCTGAATGAATTTCAAAACAAGTTCTTCAGCGATCACTGAACATGCTCAGTGTATTGATCGCTGGAACTGAAATTACAGATACAGAAATACATCGAAAGGAAAAAGGGATTATCATCAAATCACTGAGAGAGAGGATCAACAATACCAACTATACATATAGGTCAATCTATTTTCGTAATTGACACAAGTGTTCATATGTGTCAATTTGTGTTTGTAATTGACACAACGGTTCATATATGTCAAGTTGTGTTTATATGGTTGTACGAATGTTCTCATATGCGAATTTATGTTCATATGGTCACACATATTCATCATCTTTTGTATATGTCAATTTGAACGATACCGAAAACTTTACTACCGGGGCTTCTCCACCAATCACAAATTCATAAACATTAGAGATAGAAAATCAATATTAAAAAAATAGCAAGATTAATAATAAGTTAACACAAATCATGAGATTTTATGGTTTTGTAACTCCTAATTAATGATATAGGAGTTACATAAAAAAATTACATATGTACCCTTGTTATTAAATTCTAAGATGGATAAGAACCTAATACTAAGATGGATTGTGATTGGCTGAAAATGGTTAACAAAATTAACACAATAATTTAGGTTAACATTTGAACCAAACACACATACTCTCTCTCTCTCTCTCTCTATATATATATATATATATTTCAACAACATGCACTGTTATATATAATTTTTTTTCTCACAAGGGTGGTAAAAAAATCAGGTTTTATAAACTTTACTTTTAAAAATGAAAAACTTTAGTTTGTCATCTCCGGCAACGGTGTTGAAAACTTGTTGTCAGTATTTCACTACCTTTAAAATTCAATGCAAAAATAGATCTTAGCGCAAATATACACCACAATTTATTGTCGTATTGTAACAAATAATAATGGTACAAGTACCGAATATCGTTCCCACAGAAGTGACTTGTAAAGTCTTTCAAAAAGTCCAGTCTTTAAAAATTGATTTCATATGGCGAATTCGAAGAAATCTTTTGTTTCGTTTGTGATTTAATTATCAACTACAAAAAATCAGTAGTAAAAAGAAGCAAAGGGTGTAAATATCTGTTAGGACTAGAAAAAATGATCTATTGGAAAGATATTATAGCATTTTCCGGATAGTCCAATAGTATTATTAATTAGTACAATTATCTTGTCATAGATACCCAACTATCGTCTCAAACGGCCTCCCAAGAGTACATATAGGTCGGCATACTATCTATACATATCATTTATATTAAACGTCGTAAATCCTAGTACAACATTATGTTACCATCCTACACCGTATAAGTATAACACTTGTCAGGTACTAAAGCTATTTTTAGCCTTCTTATATTATATCAGGTCATTGTATTTATCTTAACTTTGAAAGTTAATTCATTTTCATACATAAAATTAGTCGTCAATTAATTTAATGCAATGTCCAACACTTGTTTGTGCAAGGTTATTTATATTTTGGAAGTTTCAGTTCTTTAAGATGTGATCTTGATGCTCAAGTTTGGTGGTAGCTGTTATGGTCTAAAGAAGCTGATTAAATGGCCCCAGGAACATTGTAAGTTGTCAGATGTTTGTTTGTTCTTCAAAGACGTCTGCTGCTGCTGTTTGCGGTTAAGGATACAAAAGAGCCCTCATCAATTTTTGTTTGATTCAGCTGCAAAGATGGCAACAGTGGTGTTGGATGCTTCAGATGTACAAGGTGCAGTTGTCTATATCTATATGTTTCAGTTACTGAGGAATCCAGATCAGTGGCTGTTGTCTGAAGTTTTTCAGATGCTGTTCAGCTCTTGCTGAGGCTAAAATGGCAAGCAGTTACTTGTGTTTCATCAGGGGCGACCATGGTTCAATGATGTGAGGTTTAATGGTAGAATAAGTGACACATGGTTCTTCAATTGTTGTCTTTTCTCAATGAGACAAGATAACATTTGAAGCAAGACTTGAAGAAAATGTCAAAGATAACCTTACGAGGTTTGTAACTTAGCCTTTTACTGGCCTCTAATTATATATATATTCATCACCAATTACTGGTCATTTGCTTCTGGATCTTGGAATTATGAGAAGATCTACCACCCTTATCTTTATAAGCATTTCTTGAACCATTGCTCTTCCTTCCTGCACGTGCTGCTTGAATCGCACGTTTTCGCTGCTTTGCTAGCCGCTCCACCAGTTCAGGATTGTCATCATCATCATCTTCCTCCTCATTTTCATTATCTTCCACCTAGAAAAAAAAATATAAGACAGTTTCACACTTGATAATAAAAGGGTTGGACATTAAGAAAGCTAGAGAAATACCGGATCGCTTGTATCATGATGCTTCTCTTCAGAGTTTTGTTGATCCTCTTCTACTTCGCCATTCATCCCGCAACCCATTGGTTGGTCATCATCCTTGATAACGTAACAAACAGAAAACTTGTCATTATAAATTGCCACCGAGCATTAGTCAAAGTGTTGTATGTATAATCATATGCAAGCAATGATATCAAGAACTTCCTAACAGGATTCTTAGAAGTTCTATATGAACAATCCAATAAACTGTTTGGTTAATCACCAGTCCTTTTAACCAATTTTACTTGTTTATTTTGCACATACAATTTAAAACAATTTAACATAGCCCCTGAAGCACATCAGAGCTTGAATCAATGATCTGCAGAATGCATAATTAAAAACGACAGATGTTGATTAGAATTACTATGTACTCCAAGTTCTCCATCCCACACTGTTAATGGGCTTAGCTCTTATTCATGGATCATGCAGGAACTTCCCAGAATCACTTAGTTTCAACTGCGACTAGAATTTTCTGAGCCGGCTGTGACTGAAATTTAAGTAATTTCTTTTTAATTTTTCAGAAAATGTTAGCCAATCAAAAGGTCTTGATGATAACTACATCTCTCCTTCCTTCTTATCATCAAATCAAACAACTCAATTTGGTTTATCTACTTGTCTACGTTATGCAATCCTGCATCATAATAAACCATTCATAACCTATGCTGTCAAAATCGCGATATATCGCCGATATATCGGATATCGCTCGTAGGAAAAACATCAGACATGAAATATCGGTCAAAATATCGGGAACGATATTATCGGCGATATTTAGCGATATTTAGCGATATTTTAGCGATATTTTAGTGATAAAATCGGTCCGATATTCCGATTTTTACAAGGGTTAAAATTTGGGTTTTTTTTAATTCCATGGGCCTTATTTTTTGGGCTGCTTAGTAAATTAGGTCTGAATCTAAGACTTTCTCAACAGTCTACTGTCTACGACTTCTTCTCACGTCGTCTCTCTTTTCTCTCTCGGTCTCTCTCTTTTCTCTCTCGGTCTCTTTTCTCGATCTCCTCTGTTTTTCTTGTAATCGATACAACATAGCCAAGCCACTGCCCAGCGACAGCAACTTGCGATTAGCTTGTTTTTGAACACTTTAGATGATGTGATGTTTTAATTTTGAAACTATATTTCTAAACTCTAATTAATGCATATTATATATATAATTCTAAGAAATATTATGTTAACCGCTATTTCCGATATATCACCGATATAACCGATATATCGAATATCGGTCCTGACCGATATTTCGTATTCTGACCGATATAACAGCATAAATCATAACATATTAACACCATCATTATATGGTGTCTCCTTTTCGCTTGCAGCTCATCAGAGGTCCATAATTTCGCATCAGCTATTACTTGTCATGAGTTTCTTTGGGGGCAATTGGAGAGGAGTTTGCGTTCGTTGACAAAAGTGTTACTTGAAGCTTAATGCTTTTGTTCCCTCCATAGGAGAGCTAGTTGACATTATAATGGAATGCCATGTCATGTAAAGGGTGGAGTTTTGGAAACTACATGCAAATGCCCTGGAATAAGATAGGTAACTTTAACCATGTCTGCCAGCCACATGCCAACGATTATTATTTTAATTTTGGATTCATAACCAAATACCCCAACTGAAATTTGAATCCATATGCAAGTATTCAAGCTTTAAATTTAGATACTGACTTTTAATAGCCATCCAATTTTAATTCAGATATTAGATTTGCTAATCAATATGAACGAGGATATCTCCAGGCACAATTTGATTAACATCCATGCTTCTATAGACTTATTCAAAAGTGCCCAAATGAATCTCAGTTGCAAAGATGGCCCTTTTGAGTGGTGGTGAGGTTGAAACAAGTGTGAAATTGTGCAATGATCTCTGGTTGACCAAGAAAGTGATGTGTTGTTTCATGCCCCAGGTATTGGCATGTGACACTGACACACTAAGTTGCTAATATATGATATATGGAGCAGGGGCAGACTTCCCAGTGCATCATATGAATCTGCTGTATGGCAGTGTACATATATCTAACACACTTGCATAATTATATGTTAATATATATATATAATTCATACATATGAGGATTTATATGTATTATCTGATCAATCTAATCATTCTCTGTATAATATTACTTAAGTGAGATTCACAGTTCACAAATTGATACGGACAAAGCACCAAAAAAGAGTTTGACAGTAGTGAAGATGGGTAAATGCTGCCAACAGATTCCATGATTTCAAATAGATCTGATTAGATAGGAAAATATCTGATGCTTAAGATTCTTGGAAAATTGTAGTAAGGAGGAAACACAGATGACTTCCAAATGCTGAAAAGAAACATAAATAAAAGACAAGGTAGTTTTTGATCCAGGGAACATACCTTGGTCAATGAGCATAAAGAATCAAAATTTTGGATGTCTGATGCATTTATTGTAGAAGAGTTGTGTCCTTCATCTTCTTCAATTTCCTCATCATCAGAACCAGGAATCTTCTCAAGACCTCCTTCATTGAACTACAATATATCAAAAATGAAGCCTTAGACAAACATAAGAATTAGCGTACAAGCCTGTAAGAAGATCACAAGGATAAAATTGTTTCGTCAAGCAAAAGTTAATGAATAACTTGGTATATAAATTTAAAAACCATCCTCCAGATACATGTTTGATAGAAAAGAACCAAAACAAATTTAGTACATGATAGATTGAGCCTGGCAGCTTATCATGGAATTAGTTGACACTCTCCAGGAGGGCACACCTATAATTGACCGGTTTCATAAATAGTTGTCTTTGACTTGTACAGTTAAGGTGTGTAGACTGAACTCGAGAACATATTCTATTTCACATACCCTTACAAGCAAGTGATGTCAAAAATAATGTTTAATTCACTCTATTAATCAAGCAAATAAACATGGTATTAAAAGAAGCATAAAATATGTTGGGTCCAAGTTAAATCATAAAAACCAAGGATAAATCTAACAAGCATTACATATGAACAAATTGTAAAGAACACGCTAATGAAAAATATAATGAATATTACATTTTGTGATTAAATACTATCTTCATTGAGTAGAGGGTATGTAGTAAGAATACCAATTGGGTGTTGGGAAAAATATGCATAGCTTGGGTCATCATTCCTTTTAGCTACACATCACATTTACTAGCATAGAGGTAAGATAAAAGCAAGGGTCTTCACACTTCAATGGGCGAGTGTAGGAGCAATAAAGTTAAGACCAACGCAGTATCTAGCTAGTCTATGAAATATAGCAGGGATGTGAGAAACTAATTGATATACTCGTAGAAAGAGCACAAATGTGCCATGCATTCAAGATTCTAAGTGGGCGGGTGAAATATCCAAGGAAATACAAAGCCTGGCTGTAGGTTATGTTATCAAAGCAAAGAAAGACTTGGGAACAGAGTAGGTATTATAACAGATTAAAGAAAATTGATGTATTTGAAAGAAAAAAGATACGAGTATAGAACCATATTAGCAAAACAAGTTGCACAGAAGATAGTAATGAATGTTAATGGTGCATATGCCCCTCAAAGATGATATCTTGAAAGTATTCGTAGAAGTTTACAGTGAGGCATTAAGAACATCTAAATCTTGCAATAGATTATGATTTGTTGTTTTGACCTGCTAACCTTTATCAGTGATCAAAAAATTAGTCAGATCTACTTTCTCCATGCTGAAGAAATGGAATAAACAACAATCATAATTTGTAAGGTCACACCTAGAGAATTGTTACATGTCATAGGCATGAACTATGGTGTAAGATAGAGAAGGGGTGTTAGCCAAAAACTAGGTGGTAGAAGCTTTGAAGAGGAATCATAAGAAGGGCCACGAGATGTTGATGCAGAAGCTAGGAGGGTGTAAAACAAGATGAAATTGTTAGGTCACATCAACCAAAGGAGGTTTTCAAATAAAGTAGAGGAATTAGACATCAAACTGAAGAAACTTGATAGACTTACAAAGAATCAGAAAGTCATCATCAAAGTGTATGGAGCATAGAAATACTACTACATGATTGTCAAGGTGTAGAGAGCATAGAAAAGTATAGAGTACATAAAATGGAAGCTAAAAATGCAAGAAATCAATCAGATGAAGATCTGGGAAAGAAGAGTTGAACATGACGTAAAACAAGTTGATCGAGAAAGAGAAAGGAGTGAAAGGGTAGGGGCATATGTCACACTGAGTGCAACAAGCACAAGAACCATAAGAGAATGTCAAGGAGAAAAACTGACAGCTCCTGTTGTGATACTAAAAGAGTGACAATGTGAGACTTGAAAAAGCAACACAGAGAGGTAAGATGGCAAGTGGAAAGTTACTATCCAAACAGGAAATAGATTAGTTCTAATGGTTTTTCTCATCTGCTGGCAATGACAGGCTTTCAATCGTTGTTATTTTTTCTGCCTACTTCATCTTTAAAGTAATGTAATTAATGAGCCAAAAACTGGAAATACAAAGCACGTCAGCTGACTTGACAAATATGCATGTGGAACCCTGATTTAATAGGATATTATGAAACAACCAATTAAATTTCAAATAGAATTTTTTCTTTTGGAAACATACTGGTCGGTGGATTAAACTTCATGAATTAGTAATTTCAGAACCTGCATGCATCATACCTTTTCGATATCATCTTGTTCCTTCCTGCTAAAACCACTCGCAGAAAGTTCCTTGTCAAGGAAACCAGAAGCTTTCTTTATTGAAGAAAAGCGAGGCTTTACAGCATCCGAGTCTGCATCTGAATCTGAATCATCAGCATTCGCTTCAAAAGAGAGGTTGAACCTGGACCAAAAATGCTATTTAATTAATAGAAACAACCAGACAGAACAAAGTCCCAAAATAATCAACATTAGGCGACCAGTTCTATCACTTCTGTCATAAAATCGTACAAAAGAACGCTGATGAACAGATGCAATCATGTAAACAACAGGTCAAATGTAGTTCAACAGAGTATTTCCTTGATATGCTGTGTTGGAGATACAATTACTTGGCAATTGACGATGTTATAAATGTTTCAGGCCATTGGCCACTTAAATATTGAACTTGAAGAGAGCAGTTAAAGCAATGGGTTTCACAAAATATACTAATATAGGTATTCAAATTAAACCAGGAACATTAGATAGAGATTTGGAATGTAATCCTTAGTCGAAATTGTATAATCTCAATTGAATGGATGGAGTAATTTGAAGACCTGTATATTAGTTTACTTATGCCTCCTAGCAAAACTAGAATTCCATACAACAATCAAAAATCATAGTAAACAATTAACTAGTCCAATAGCATATTTTCCTAACCTTAGATGGAATGAATTTCCTAAAAATACACAAAAGAAACTAAGCATTTCAGCTGGACAGTTGTATAATGGTATATATAAAAAATTAGAATTTACTAGAAGGGTACTCATGCAATGCATCGAGACACATTTTGATTTCAATGTTTCGTTTTATTTTTTTATCTATGTCGAATAATACGATTTTATGTGTTTTGAGAAAACGATAATGTTTTTATTTTCGAATAAAGTATAAATTTGAAAATATCATATAAAATTTGTAAAAAATATATCAATATTAGTATCAAATTAACTATTTAAAAGTTCTTGTTTGTGTATTTTTTTTAATTCAAAATTTTTATTATAATTTAATTTAACGTAACGAAGTAACTTAATTTAGGTTTAATAATATTTTTTTGTAAACATAATAATTAAGTATTCAGTTAGAACTCAATAATTATCCTAATTATATTTTATATTTTTTATATTTTAAAATGAGATGTTTATCCTCTATTTGATTATGTTTATCAGCAGTTAGTTACACGAATTCAAACATAGAGCTTTAATAAGTTGTACTTATGCACAATGTACTTGTAATCTTAAATTTTAAGTAATATGCTTCAATAAACAGTACTTTATGCATAAAAAAATGTTTTTAAGAATTTTTGTCAAATGCTTTATAATATAGTATAGATTCAGGGCTCTGGACGTCAAGTACAAACCTCTTGCTGAAAAACTTGATAATGCATTCAACATCACGATCAAAGTACCTAAAATCATATATTAAATCAAATTGAAGTTATTTTGAATGAAATAATATGAGGCCATAGTCAGTGGGGAAGTACTTATGATGAATGTCAGCTAAAACCATCTTATAAGTTCTAAACATACATTTCTGCATTTCGATGAGATACAGAGACCATTTGCGGAAAATCGATGATTGTAATTTTCTCATCATCATCTATCTGCAACAAAAATAGGATTGATAAGTCGCTTTAAGCTTGTGAAATTCAGTGGAATGCCATCTTGCAAAAAATATCCACAGTTAAAATAAGCTGAATAGTAATGGTGACAATAACAGTAAGAGTGAGTTAAACAAGTTGTCCTTGAGATCTTGACTTGTGGATTAGTACACTCATAATCTCATTTTGCATTGCTCCTCCATTTGATCAAATTCTGTTATGCTCTAGTCTCTCTCACTGTTAATGTTGTATACTTGTCGAGAAAAAGCAAAATGAAAGGCATGCCCTTGGAAGGCATTTCAGCTACTTCAAAAGTAGATAAAACTAAAGAGAAAATAGATAAATAATTCTGTCTCCTCCCTCTCTCATTCCCCCTTCTCTCTTAACTCTTCTCGCTCTTTCATCATCTCTATACACCTCCCTTCATCCCACCACCTTTCCTCGTTAAGTGAAGATAAAAAAATTAAATATAAAAAAACCCACTCCATCATGAATTTAAAACAGAACAAAATATCAAAACTATGTCCATTTAAGAATTTTCAATCTTTTTCTTCAAAACACAAAGCACGTTAATTTAAAAACTTCAGATTTAAGAAACCAAAATTCATCTTTAAAACAAAACAAGGCATCTCAAATCCACCTCATCCCCTTCAAGACAAAACTACTGTTGCATTACGACCGCCACCATGGATGTCATACATGTTGCATGGAAACAAAAATCTTCGTTTTCAAGGCTTGTTCTATATTTGCATAAAAAAGGATTATTCGAGGATTGGGATGTTCAAAATTTTCGAAAGAAGGTTGTGTATCATGGACATGGGGTAATGAGATGAGTAGAACTTTTTTATTGATAAGAATAATTGTCTTAAATACCCAAATTAGGCTTATGTGGCAGCATGTGATAAGCACATAACATGTTTTAATGGAGTAATAGCAATGGTCGCACCCAGCGGGACCAACTTTCTGATAAACTTTCAGTAAAGAAATTAGCAATGCAGAATAACTTAACAAGTGAAAGAATGACTAATCTGGCTAAATGAAGGACAGTTTCATGTACTTCACTCTGATGATAATGATAAGAGTGTCTCGAAAGAATAAGAAGTTTTCTAATGACGAATTTCAAAATCAGAAATCACATACGGCGTAAAAAGACGACACCAAAAATAGGTTGAAGTGAAATATTTCATAAGCATACCATAATGTTAAATTCATTGAAGTCACAGTGAATAAGGCCATGCTCAGCCAGACGGACAATAATGCCTATGATCTTCTCAAAGACAATATCAGTACTTTGCAATTGCTTCACCTGCACACTGCACCAAATATGATCTTCAAATGCAGAACGTAGTTCCTTAAAGCAAACCTTCCCTACTTTTATACAGTTATCGCGACAAACATGAATGATAAATAAAACTGTCCAAATAGCAACATAAAACCAAAATGAAGCAAATGAAAACTAGTCTAGAGTGTTAAAACGGCACATATGAAAAATCCAGGTCATATCATGCTTCATTAAACAACTCCTCTAATGAACTCACATTTATTAACAAGATGTAGATGCTATTTGATAAAATTGAATAACTTTGAATGGTTTAGAGGCATAGTATAGAATTGGTGTCGAATAAAGAGTATTGTTTTATATATCAAACATCTTTCTGCAAAAAGGGTAAAATGCCACCCTCTGGTCCCCCACTGTACCAGTCTCACTAAAGATGGAAATTTAACCTACTGGGGCAGGTATCCATGGGGCAAGGCTTCCCCATCTTGGCAGGGGTAACAGGGCGGGGACAGATTGATTTTTATACCCGAAGTGTGTTAGGGATGGGACAGGGAATGGTACTTCTGCCCCTAAACCCACCCCCGATATATATATATATATATACATATTCTATTTTTGATATATATATACATAGATTCTAATTTTAATATATGTATATATATATACATATATTATATTTTCGATATGTATATTATATTCAAAATTATTTTTATATAACAGGTACCCGGCGGGGAATCCATCCCCCTAACCCGTCAGCGATTAGATGACACAGAAACAGATGACATAAACGGGGAGCAGAGTTGGGGAGCGGGATGCATTCCCTTCCCTGTTTTCAATCCTAGGTCCCATGGCGATTGGCAATGATAACATTTCTCTTTATAAGGTTTCGGTCATTGTAGAAATACAGATTTTGGTCAGCTCAGATCCAACTAGTATTTAGATTGTAATAACTTGGCTATCTCCATTGATGCATGTACTTCAATTTTGAACTTTTTGGAAAAGAATACCTTTTAAGGACACTTACTGCCCACAAAAAAAAAACAAAGAGAAGAATCTAGCAAAATAAGTATGTATAGCATTACTTTCTTTTTCACAGTGTTATAAAATGAAGGTTCAATACAAGATTAATCTATCTTATATACCTATATAGGTAATGAGGACTTCCTGCAAAAGATATCAACCACACAATGACTTCAACAAAATAGTAAGTAGCAATAACCAAAGGCATGTACTTTGACTTACAGCGGATAGCCTTGTACAAGCGACATAATCACACAATGGCGATTGCAATCGACAGCATTTGGGACAGGAAAACCATGTTCTTGTAAAGCCTAATCAACAGAAAATTTAGAAATCGATAACTGCTAACAAGAGCATTACTCAATACTAAACAATCAAGATTGACAATTTGAAATGATACCTTCATGAAAGCAAATTCTTTGAGAGCAGCAAGGCGAGACAGATACAGCCAATTGAAGCTACTGCGGTGCTTTAAGTAGTCACGCTTAGACTTGACAGCTCTGAAAGAGGTCCTACCTAGCCTGTGTAGTTTCATAGCCATAACCGTACCATCTTCATTTGCAACCTCAAAAATATCTTGAATACAGGACATGTTAGTGTCTTAAATGCTCCCAATTAATGAGAGGTAAATAAGTGTGTCAAATTAAAAGAGATTGGCATTACCAGACTCTTTCCCCACGCCAATTTGGCGTCCCACTGATGAAAAAACACCTCTGTTCACCATAGTCTTTATAGCAAGAAAATCATAACCAAGATAGGTGAGTCGGAACCCATCATCTACAGAAAAATAAAACAAGCCCATCAGATGCAAGCCCTAGCAACGGTGTCCTGAATTAGTACAGGCACACTACTCACACTTTGAAGAGTCATGATGCAACAACTTGTGCTTGAGCAAATTCTTCAACACCTTATAAGTCCCTCCATGTCTATATACAACCCAGAAAACAAATATTACTTATGACTATTGCATGTAACACAAACTAGTTGACTGTTAGAAACAAATGCAGAAGGCAAACACTTGCAAAAAACTATAGATGATGGTAGTGATTAATAACACCAAGATGTGTATGTGTGTATGCAAATGGGCACCAAAATAAAAATTATTGGAAGTAATAGCAACGAACTGTAGCAGCAAAGGTGAACCACCACTACCTGAGTGACGCAATGCGGTCAATGAGCTCTGCAGGTACAATTTCATGCTGAGAAGAGAATAAGACATGTTTTTAGATGACAATTTGCCAAAATGCAGGAAAAAATCTTAAGTGATACCAGATAGCAATTTAGAATTGACTTACATTGCGCATTCCCATCTCAACGGCAGTGAGAACCCTGAAATCATCTTTGGAGAGGTACCGCAAAACATTCACATCAAGCTTCATTACTCCTCTTTTTGCACTTTCTTCTCTATGCTATATGCTATAATGTTGCTGGTATAAACTGATCACTCGAAAAATCCTTGTTAAGAATTTAAATTAGGTTAATGATTTCTTGTTAAAGTAAGCCTATTAATTAGGATGACGCTTCATTCCTTGCAGCAACAATGGTTCATATGAAAGAGTTAAAGATGTAATGTTAACAGGTTAGTTTGGAAAACTCTATGGAAATGGTAAATACTTCTTTAGTGAGATAGTCACATATGTAAATTTTGACGAGTTCAAGGATATTCTATCATGTCTGTCTATGAATTTTTATCATATCTAAGAGTTCGACGTAATATTCTCTCTTTAAAAAAATTGTTCTCTTCCATCTCCTTGATTTTATGTTCTGTTCAGAACCATGCTTACAATTAAACAAGTGCAGGTTAAGGTCTTGACAAGTATAACTCATCCAAATCGTCCTCAAGGTTCTCATGTTTTAATAAGATCTTAAGGAATCTACACAAACTCCTTGGGTACGTATAGAATGCAACTTAGTCGGATAAATCAACCACCCACTTCACTACATGTCCAGCAAACCGGAACCATCAACTCATGATGAAGAATAATGATATATTGTCTCCTCTAAAAGCAACCTATAAATACCCTCTTAAAATAGTTAGAACTAATGGCACCAATTCAGCAAATATATCTCTTGATTTTGCTTCATCCCATGTTAGATGTTCCCTTTTTCATACAAACATGATTTCCGTCAATCAACTTACTAAACAATTAATTTGTTATGTAACAAGCTTTCTAAGGGCCATGAATTCTTTTTTCTTGATTGCACAAAACTGTATCGGCAACAGTCCATTGAATCTTAGCATCCTAATTTATGTTTCAACTAAATGTGTTTTCCTCGATTGCACAGAACCCCGTAGTCTATTTTCTGTACTCTATACCATTTAAAGGAAAAACAATACACAGGTAAGAAATTTAAAACTAATCTTCCATTTGGTATATATTATTGCTTAATGTTGTGAGTCAAATGATGAGATTAGAAGTGACGACGGTCGCCTGACCATAGCCAACGACCTCCAAAACGCCGTCTACTGCGACAATAATGCCATAGTAGGTTCAAGAACATGTTGGGCTACTTTGATCCTCAATCAAGTCATTAAAACAATATAAATATATCAATGATATATGCAGTAGAAGTTGATATCTAATAAATAATTTCGAGAAAAACGAATGAAACCAAACCTTGAGGCTTCAATAATGACAACTGTTTTAATAGAGTTGATTTACTTCTTTATATCTTCTAAAAGTTGTTAAGGTTTGCTTGTTATGATGTTAGAAATAGAAACCACAAAGAAATTCGAAGCTCCTTCGTAATTGTTAATGGCTGCTGACCAAGGCCGGTCCTGAGGTTTTTCATGCCCTAGGGAAAAATCTAAACCATGTCCCTAACCTAAAAAATAGACAAAACACAATATTTCTAAGGGACCAAGGATTTACCGGTGAATCGTAAGTTTTCAAATGAAAGAAACCACACTAGTCAACAGTCACCATGGGCCACTTATAGGTCATTTTTCAAATGTCAACATCAGGGCTGTAAACGAACCGAACGTTTAGCAAACTGTTCGTGAACCGTTCAGCAGGAAGTTCGTTTCTGTTTATTTATTTAATAAACGAGCGAACATGAACACACTTTTTTGTTCGTTTAGTTTTATGAATGAACATGAACAATGGCCTTGTTCGTTAATTTACGTTTGTAAACTTTCATTCATTTTTGTTCGTTTATGTTCGTTAGTTTATGTTCATTATATATAAATATATTTATATAGTATGACATTAATATGTAAAGTGAATAATTAAATTAAGTTTTTCAGAACTCCTTTTTTGTTCCCCCTAAATTTTTACTCGGTTTTACATTTTGTAATGTTATATTGTTATCTTAGAAGAACGAAATGATAAGCAATGGTGGTTGTTTTTAGTTCATTTGTGCCTATTTGTTTATGTTCACTTATGTTTGTTTAAGTTTGTTCATTTATGTTCGTTTAGCATCATAGCGAACGAACACAAACAAACACATTTTCTTAATGAACGAATACGAACACAAAAAATTCCATTCATTTAACATCTTAATGAACGAACACTAACAAACACATTTTATTAACGAACGAACTAGAACACAAAAAACTTCATTTGCCTACCATTCGTGTTCTTTCGTTTGTTCGGTTAAGTTAAATGAACGAACATGAACAAAAAAGTTTCATTCGTTTACCATTTGTATTTGTTCGTTTGTTCGGTTAAGTTAAACGAACGAACACAAACAAGCCTCCGTTTGTGTTTGTTCTGTTCGCTTACAGCCTTGCATTTTCGATTAACACAAATATGCAACAAATTACTAGATACATGGAAAAATGGTTGATTTAAGGGACTGCAAATATAGCTTGTACTTTAATGCACATGAGGACATTAAAGATTATCTAAGAAATATTTTCGGAATCCATTAGACAACTTGATGTATAAGCTAGAAATCTAGAAAACATGTTTAACATGATATAGGAATTAGTGTTTATGAAATCACTGTGATAAACAACCCATTAGCTAGAAGAACAACGAGATTTATGCAAATTGACATTTTATATACTAATTAAACGAAATTAAAAAAATGTGATTACTAATAGATTATGAATGATGCATCTAATAGAATTAGTCAACATGCTATGAACGAAATATGGTTGATTATGTTAATAACGTTGTTTGATCTACTAAGTAATAGCTAATGCTCTAAGAAACATGTACAACACTCAGTTCTAAAAGTTGATGTGTGGTTAATTTGTCATTAACTCTAAATCCCTAACCAGATTTCATGTTAAAATCAAAGGTTTTAAAAGAGTAAAAAGCCATCGAGCATGAAAGAACATGATCATGATACCACACAATTCTAATGACAAATTGGACAACAAATCATAGGTGAATTACCTTTCACTAGTTCAAAGAAAACTCATTCTTCAACAATATCTTAACTACAACGCAACAATGTTACTTCCATTCTTTTGTAGGCTTCCTATATCGACCTTGATAAATTGTATACTATCCCTAAGACGTAAATGCCACATAAACGCATAGAAAACAAGTAAAATCAGTACTCTTTAGATCAAGAACCAAACTATGTAACCAATCTTTCAATCTTTTAATTAAGATAACAAGAATATCACAGAGTTTATGTTGTAAGCTATTCATCGAAACAGTAGGAGGGCATCATCAACCTTGGTAATATTATAAACAATGAGCTACAAATCAAACCCCAAACATGGCAAATACCAATGAGAAACACGTTAGCAAATTGAACTAATCATCTAACTATCAAAAATCAACAAGACAAGTAGACAACAATCCAAATAACAAAACAAATTAGAAACATCTTTAATCTACAAAAGAGTGAAAGACAAAAACATCAGTCAATAGAATTTAGAAATTTACCAGAAGGGTTGCTTAAGACTAAGAGAGCCACAGGAGGAAGTGAGAGACTTTCGTGAGCCAGATACTTGGAGTTCAATTACAAGAGGGCGAAGTCGAGAAAGAGTTACTGGGGTTCAAGAACAAGTCCAGAGTCGGTTCAATCGTGCAGGTAGGGCAGCGTACGTTAACATTTTCCTTAGATCATCCTACGCAAAGACATAAGACGTTCTAGTGTGGGTCTTTGGGCCACCAATGCTGGGCTTAATTGTTGGATCGTATCATGGTAATAGTAGACTTGGGCTCCTTTATCTATTTGATTACTTTAAACGGTTAAATACATGTATTAAAAAGTTATTTTAGGGTGCGATTGGTATGCAGACAGGACATGATATGACAAAGCGGAATAGTTGTCCAGCGTTTGGTAAGACATGATATGACAGGACATGATAAAACTAGTTATAATGACTAATTTACCCCTTCGAGCAAGTGGAGATAAGCCCTCAACACCTTAACAACTACAGTTACAAGGTTATCATCCATGTCTAAAAAAAACAATCATTTTATCATGTAAAGCTATCAAACAATAATGTATAATGTAAAGCTACAATTAGAAGGTTATCATCCATGTACCAAATCACTAAGAATGACTATCAAACATGTAAACAAAATGCTATTAAAGATGTAAACTAAAAAGCTATCAAATCACCAAGAATGGCTATTAAACATGTTAACGAAAAGCTATCAAACTTGTAAACAAATAATCTATCAAATCACCAAGTATAGCTATCAAACATGTAAACTAAAAGCTATCAAATCATAAATCCAATGACTGATTTATGTAACCACACTCTGTAAGGACATGTTTGGCTTAATTGGGGTTACAATTTGCATGGAATTTCAAGGTTCGGTTACATTATGTTTAGGCTTATTTTTTTTAAAGTTAATTATTTTTTTTATAAATTATAAGACAAGTTCTTTTATTGTTTTCTTGAAGGTGTTCATCAATGTTATGTGGTAGAATATCATTTTTTACACGATGATCAATCTAACCAAAAGCAAATTTGTTCAAAGACTATTAAAACCCTCAAGTTTTTCAAAAAACCATATGTCCTTTCAATCTTGAAACTTATTTTTATTCATTTACTAATAGTCACCATCACCTATAAGTAAAGTGAAATCACCGGCATGCAATGCATATGGGATGGGATGGGATGCAAGGTCTGACATTGATAGCCTTGTTTTTGTTGGAACTTGTATGTGAAATTTGAGTTTAGAGGAATCAACCAATTAAGAAATCTATTGTTTAATTTGGTTGTGGTTTTTCTTTTGAATGGAAAATTATATTAAACTTTCATTTCCGGTATACATAAAAAAAAATATACATCTCACGGCATTGTAAGAGTATGCAACTAATGTATATATGTAACACCCCTAAATTTATAAAATAACATACAATTTAAAACTTCCAAAATCCAACTTTAATGAAATAATGCTTAAAGTTTACAAAGGAAGGAAGACAAGACATGCATCAGAGTTCTAAATGGACAATCTAATCATTGATAGAATTAGAGTAGGTCAGATTTTACTAAAACCATCAAGTCTGCTATCTTCAAAAACCGGATGACGCCTCCAAAGCCATCCTACCAAAACTTCTACAAAGCTCCAAACACCACTCAGATCCCACTAAGACCTGATGTACATGTCGATAAGAAAAATGTTAATCTTAACGCCTAATGAGTGAAAACAGTTTTATGATATAAACATAAAATAGTTAAAATCCTATCAATAACGACTCCTTTATTTAAACCATGTCATAACATGAACATCTTTCCAAAGCTCGTCATTCCAAATCAAATATATGTTTAGATTGATAACCAACATCCAAACTTACCCAAAACGTACGCGAGATGTATACTCCAAAATACCAAAAATATAAATGATATATATCCAAAATCCTGAAAGCATAGGTAATAAAATACCAAAAACAACACATTTTGGTGATGAAGGAGACCTAATTCCATCTAATGGGACGATAACATAAAAGTAAGCCGCTTACCGATGTTCTAGAGTTTCACCGTGGGCCATGGATTCCTGTGTATGACTTCATTGAGTACCACGACAAGATTCTTATCATGACCCTAGAGTCTATTCGACCTCTAGATGAGTTTCACCATAGAAGTCACCAGTTCCCGGGCTTTAATGAGCACCACCATAAGACCTAGCTCTATATGTGACTCAATAGAGTACCACCATAAACTACTAGCTAGTATACGACCTAATAGTACAACCACAAGCTCTCAAACCATGACTTGATGACCACTTGCTAGACTTGTGACATCCCAAAATGGGGTAAAAAGTAAATATTAAAAAGGAAAAATAGAAATAAAACAAAGTTGGTTTTAATTTTATTGGACCAAAAATGTGAAGAAAAACATGAAAGGGGCCCAATTATACCATTTAATGAAAATGAGAATTGAGTAAAGAAGTTCATGTCAAATTGAACTAAAAATGAAAGAAAATGTCAAATCAAAGATGAAAAGTATGTTGATCCTCCCTCTCAAGGATTTGATGATGATCCTTTTTATCTTACAAAGTGTACTATCTCCTTATTCATCTTTAGAGATCATCACTGAGTCTGTATAGTGATCACTGAAGATGTATTGTAATTCTCTTAGAGACAAATATCCTTCAAGAAGACAAAACTCACACCACAAAACCTTCAGTGATATTGAAGATAAAGCTAAATATAGAGACAAACAAGTTCACCTCTTACATCTAAAGCTTGTATATCTGCAACAAAGGACAAGTTCACCTCTTGAAGCTTGCCACGTGCTTTGTACCTTATGACTTGCATTTAATGCAATGGGTATAAACAGCTGAAAAGCTCCTCCTTGTTAGCAATCTTAGTCTAAGCCAAGCTTCCTTGCCTTTAAGATCTTTTTACCCAAGAAGATACTCCCCCATCTCCCTCAACCACTCTAACCAGCGAAGAACACAAGACTTCTTAACATTTTCTTTTAGCAAGTCTTTTCTTTCTTGCTTTCTGTAACTTGTGTGTTTCTTTGATTGTTTAGATAAGTTATGTATCTTATAATTTTCGCAAACAATCTATAAAATTCAGTACTGATCTTCTTTATCGATAAAGGATTTTAAAAGTGAAAGCTGTTATGTTTGTATTCACCCCTTCTACAAAACTGTTACCTATAAACTCTTGTAGATTCGGCTGGGACCAACAAAATGTAATATTGGCCAAAGTATTGACATCAGGAAGCTAAATATCATTATTTGATAATTCATGGTGTGGTCAGATGTCAACTTCCTCATTATTGAGGGACTTGTTTTGCTAAATGTACAAGTCTATTTGAGAATCAAATTTGAAAATGATGGTTGATTTTGGGAGGCTCCTATTAGCTCAATTTGTTAACTATTAAGACAAAACAAACTTCAGATAAATGAAGGTTACCGGTTAGGGAACATTTTGGTTCAAGAAAATCAGAATTTGGTCAAGTTTTGAGAGAGTAATCGAAGGTTGAAGTTTGAAGTCAAAAATCTCGGTTTATCGACAATCGGAGGTAAAATACTCAACTAAATGTCGAGTTATTTATATGCTCAGCTTTTTTTCAGTCCTCTATTGAACCTTAGTAGTCTCATGTCTTAGATTCTTTTTTAAATGTCTGATTTTGAGTTTTTGAATGATTTTCGAGTGGTTTTAAAAATCCAAACTTCAAATGAGAAAATGAGACTCAATACTTGATGATTTTCGTTGATTATTGTTCTTTTGGTTGAGAAAAATCATTATCTAGAGTTTTTGCAAAAATAATCATCAAAAGTGGTAATGGGTGAGAATGGCGAAAAACGGTGGTTGGCATTGGTGGGCGCTGTTGGGTCGTAGCTATGCGGAGACGCAGCATGGCCAGTGCGAAGATGTGGCCTAGACGACATGGTCCGTGCCGAGAGATGGCATGCCCGTGCTGAGACGCTACATGGACAGTGTGCCCATGCAGAGACATGATGTGGCCTGTGCCGAGACGCTACATGATTGGTGCCGAGACGCGTAGTGGCCGATGTGGAGGCACAACTGGACACTATTTGCCGAACACCCGGTTGGGTTTTTCTCTTAATTATTGTTTGAGCCATTATCAGATTATAAGGTCCAATAGCAATTACTTTGAAGTCCATTAATTTATATTAGTTATTTAATTTATTTGGGCTTATGTTGATTAAGGTATAATTATCTAGATCATGTTAGTTTCTAAATTAATTAATAATATTAATTTAAATTATTATTTAATTAACATAGAAATTTATTTTAGAATATTAATTAGTTAATTTCTAAGGAGGGGTGTTTATAATAAATCATTAAATTATTTTGATGAGATTAAAGCATCGTAATTTGAGTTAAGTATTTATTGAGATACTTTAATTTGGAGAGATAGATTTATAAGATTATAAAATGATTACTTTGACGTTTGGAACATCATCGAGTTTTAGACTTGGGGTTTGACTAAAGTTAGTCGAGTGTGACCGAGTTGACAGAGGGTTGACTTTTATCTTGTTTGACCTACAAGTATTTTAACGATGAGATCAAATGCAGATATTTGAGTCACTAAGAGACCCAATTTTGGAGTTTAACTTTATGTCTGATTGAGTTTGACTATAATTGACTATTGTTGAATTTTAGAAAAATTTAACCATCAATTGAATATTATGGTATTAAATGTGTGGGTCTTCGGTCAAGAGCTATCAATAGTCGATCTACAACGACATATGAGCTTCATGAGACTTATAATAGGGATGCATATCTATGCACAAATTTATTTTTCAGCATGATATGATTTGTATGGTGATCTGTACGTTTGCATGATGTTTAAATTTACATACATGATACAATTTATTTTACATGCATGTTGTTATTTTATGATCAGTTGCATACTATATGTCTATTTTATTTTCAAATAACTCTAGTATGTTGTTTCATACGAAAGTTGTATGATGAGATTTAAT